GCCGGCTGGCGGTAAAACCACCGGGCCTTACCGGTAAAGGTCGGCCGAGTGGTGAGAGTGGTGCGAGGGGTGGTGGTCGTAGGTCGAGGCGCCGGAGGCCGCGGTGGATGATGGCCCCGACACCGAGTGGTGGTGTGAAGCGTAGCCAGGGTATGAACCTGCGGCGGGGACGGGTCCGCCGGGGGGCGGCTGCTGCCCGCCCGGGCCGCCACCACGATGGGCGTGATGGCCGGAGGATGACAGGGAATGGTGCCCGGCCGATGGGGCCATCGGCGGGCCGCCTCCCGAAGCGGCGGGCCCAGCCCCATGGTGCTGGCTGTGCCCGTAGTGCGAGGAGGGGCCGGCGTGGTGGTCGTGGTGGTATGCCGGGGCATAGGTGCCGCTGGAGGCGGGCCCGGCCGCCGAGCCGCCCATGGCTCCGTGGTACCTGGGAGGAAGGGGGAAAGGGGTGGCAGTGGTGGTGAGTGGATGGGGGGGCGGGAGGAGGAGGCAGCATGCCGAGAGGAAGGCGGAGAGAGGGAAGAACAAACATACTGGCCAGAGCCGGGGCCGCTGTAGCGCGGGTCGCCGCCATGATACGCCGGGTCGCCCGAGGACTGGTAGCCACTGGCGCCCGAAGCGGGGGGGTGATCGTATGCATGGGCGCCGCCGCCGCCGGCACGCCAGGCGCCGCCGGAAGAGAAACTCCCCCGCCGGGGGCCCGAACCGCCGGCATACGCCGCCGAGTCGCCCCGGCGCGAAGAGGGGGCAGCCTGTGGCTGGTACTGTCCATCGGCGGTGGCCGGGTCATACCCGGCCCCAGGACCGTAATACCCCCCGTCGGTGGCCGAGGGCGGGGGCGAGGGGGAGTGATAGTTGCTGGAGGAGGGCCCATGGGGATGGGCACCGCCAGGAGCACCGGCAGTGTTGCCGCCGCCGCCGCCGCCGCGAGGGCCGCCACGCTGCGAGTGTCTCCCGGGGCCAGACACCCCGCGGTAGGGCGCCCCGCGGAAGGATGGCCCACCGCCGGAGCCGCCGTAGTGGCCATGGTGGTGATGACCACGCCCGGGGGCATGCTGCGACGAGTGGTGCTGGTATGCATGGTGGTAGTTGCCGCCACCGGGGCCGGCGGAGCCCTGATGATGATGGTGATGATGGTAGGCCCCGCCGGAGGAGCCGGGAGCCGGGTGGTGCTGGGACCCGGCCGGGGCTTGGTGCCGGCCTGCCGACCGGGGCTGGTGGCTGGCGGCGAAATTGACCACCAACGGCCCGACGAGGGGCTCCTGGTCGGCATCCTCAGCACGGCTGGCCCGGTCGCGGTTGACCACGTCCAGGGCATCCTGGCCGAAGAGAGCCGCCGGGAGCATGGTCCCGTTGAGGGCCTTGATGGCCCGGTTGGCGCCCTCGGTGGAGGCCATCACCACGAAGGCGCACCCCCGACCGAGGCCGTTGCGCTGGGCATCCGGGGCGTCCTGCGGCAGGGAGGGATTGTGCACGGTCCGCATGACGATGACATCCTGCGGGGTTTCGCCGCCGTGCGTGGTGAAGAGGGCTCGCAGGGCCACGGTCAGCGAGCAGGGCGGCGTCGAAGGGTAGGGGGTCCGGGGGAGTTGACCGATGAAGAGCTTGGTAGCCGCGTTGTCTTTGGAGGTGCGTGAGTGGAGGGGGAGGGGGAGGGGGAG